CCCTGAACTCAGAGTCCAGGACACTGGAAGACACCTGGGTTCTAATCCCAGTCCCGCTGCCGTTTGGCAGTGGGACTTTGACAGAGCCTAACCTTCTTCCTCTTCTGGGATAATCAAATGAGGGCACAGATGAGTGGCTTTTTGAGAGGGTGTAACGTCAGCTAGAAGTTGGTTTGGGATGATGGGGGGAGGCTGGAACATGGCCTTTCATTGAGGTTTGGGAATAGGGGAGTGGATGGGTAAGGAGGTCTGCCCTTGGTGTGGTTTGGGGCCCATTGTGGGTAGGGGTGGGCTGAGAGGCATGACACCCAGTGGCTTCTCTGGGTCTGCAGAGGAAGAGTGACTCGGGCTGTCCCCTAAGCTCTCTCTGCCCTCGTCTGCAGGAGATCGACACCTGCATTGTGCAAGCCAAGGAGCGCAGCTATGAGACAGTGCTCAGCTTTGGGAAGCGGGGCCTCAACATTGCCGCGACAGCCGCTGTGCAGGCTGCCACCAAGGTGCACTGGACCCCAGCCATCCAGTCCCCCCCCGTCCCCCCCCCACCCCCCGCAGTGTCTTTTGGGCAAGCCCAGCTCTTTGTCAGGGAGCCAAGAGATAACATCTGTCCGTGTCAGGGCATAGTGGTGAGAGGTGACAGGTGGGTTGTTGGCAAGAGCATGGAGCTGGAAGTACACACTTTCCTGGCTCTGACACTGACTGTGAGTGGCTGCTCCTGCTCTCTGCGCCTTAAGTGTCCTGTTGGTGCCACAAAGACCTCGGACTAGAAGATAACTGGGTCGCTTTCAGTTCTGAGGCCTGCTCCCCAGTGATCACCTATAGGTCAGCTCTTGATCATCCTGGGCAGCTGCCCTGGCCGAGGCCCCTTCCTGCTGGGAGCCCTGCCCCATCCCTCAGGTGATGCAGCTGCTCTCCCTTTCTTGCAGAGTCAGGGTGCACTGGCCGGAAGGCTACGCAGCTTCTCCATGCAGGACCTGAGCTCCATCCCTGATGCCTCTGCGTCAACCTACCAGGATCCCCTCTACCTGGAGGACCAGGTGCCCCGCCGCAGGCCACCCATCGGTGAGCAGGCAGAGGGACCCAGAGCCGTCCCACAAGGGATGGCTTCTGCGTGCAGTCTGTGTAAGTGCCTGACTTTGCCTCCCCGGCCTTCCTCTCCTCCACACAGGGTACCGAGCAGGGGGCCTGCAGGACAGTGACACTGAGGATGAGTGTTGGTCGGATACAGAGGCCGTGCCTCAGCCACGGTCCCGAGAGAAGACCCTGAGCCGCAGCCAGAGCCTGCGTGTGGTCAAGAGAAAGCCGCTGGTGCGGGAGGTCAGTGGCGAGGGAGGCAGGCCCCCCTGGCACGTCAGCCCAGACTCCTCACGGTGTGCCGCTCTCTCTCCCACAGGGCACCTCACGCTCCTTGAAGGTCCGGACGAGGAAGAAGACCTTGCCCTCAGACGTGGGCAGCTAGGGCCTACGGAACCTGCGCAGTCTTACCTCGTGCCTTGCAGGGCCCTGGGGGCTGTTCAGAAAGGCCCTCTGGCTGCGCCAGCCCCCCCAGGCTCTGCCCTCCTGGCTCCTGCTGTTGGTTAAGGGCCAGGGGCAGGTGCTGCCAGGGCCATGCACAGAGATGACCTACAATGTACCAAAGCAAGCCGGGCCCAGGGTTCTATTTATTGCCTTTCTCATTCCTCTACCTTTGCAGGGGTGGGAACAGAGCCCTCCCTAAACCCTTGCGAATGAAACCAAAGCCCATCCAGCTGTGTTCATTCCTCCCTGTCCTTCAAAGTACTTGACAGCCTTCTCCAAGGCCTTTTGTGTGTGTCTTGGGTGTGTGTTTTGTGTTGGTGAGTGAGGTCAGGTTTGTGCAAGTTTTGATAAACGAATACATAAAAGTGTTCTCTCACTCCTGGTTTTTATCCCTACTCCTCACAGCACACATTAAACAGCCTAGGAGGAGGGCCGAAGAATAGACAGACTGCTAGAGGGGACTAGTCTTTTGGAGCAGATAGCCATTGACAAATAACTACGATGTGGCAAGTGCTATCACAGAAAGCCCTTGGGGACCCCTGAGAACACAGATGGGAGAGTGGGGGGCTAGCCCCGAGAGACGTTAGAGTCTAAGAAGACTAGCCAGGAGGAGGTGGGATTGGCCTTGACTGGAAGATGCATTGTATGATAGGTAGAGAAGCCAGTGGGAGTGAAGGTGTTGTGGGGGCTGGGACAACATGATGATCTGGGATCGGGCATTGGTGGTGCTATGTACAGGTTATGCCTGGGAGGCCCACTTTCTCCATGGGCCTGCAGGGATCTCCAGGCAGCTCAGGGGCATTGAGTTCCTTAAAACACTCAGATGACATTGAGAGTATTGCACCTCTGCAGAGTGGCCGTGAGAGGGCAGCAGCCGCCAGGGTCTGGGCTGCCCCCAGCTTCCAGGTCAAGGAGGGTGGGGTTCGGAGGCTGGCCAGAGCCTTGCCCTGCAGGGGACTGGCCGCTGGCTGGTTGGAGGGACTGTGTAGAACTCTGGCCTGGCCTCCGATGGCTTTCCCTGCTGCTCATGGTCATTGGTCCTCAGCCTGCTCCATCCATGCAGGCTCCAGTGTTCTGCCACTCAGGCTCTGTGCCTGGATTGGCTCCACTCCATCCCCTACCCTAATCCTGGGACAGCCAGTCAGGCTCTGTCCTCTCCTGCTCCTGGATGCTGGTCTCACCCAGAGCTGCTCCCCACCTCCCACCCCCATGCCTGCTCTTCCTTCTTGCTTTTGATTAAGCAGAAAGGTGGGTGAGAGTGTTGAGTGGGAAGAGGGGAGATGGGGTGGTAACCCAGAGTGACATGAGGAGCATGGATTAACTCTTGGCATGGGGATTATCTGGATTTTATTTGGGGGAGGCACTTAATCTGCCAGAGTGATTTAGCTCCTCACATCTTGGTGTTCGGTGACTTAGTCTCTTGGTGTTCCCTTGCATCGTGGTATAGCCTTATCCTTTTCATTTATTCATTCAGAAAACCTTTATTGAGCATCTACCAGGTACCAGGCATTTCGCCAGATACTAGCGATGCAGAGTCTAGTAATGGCTATAGCACCTGGAACGTGACCACCCCAGCAGGTGCTGCTCTTGGCACCTGACATATATTAATTTAATCCTCACAACAGTTTCATGAGGTATGTACTATTATTATACTCTCCATTTTATAAATGGGAAACTAGAGACCGGGAGGCCAAGTAATTTGCCCAAGGTCACAGAGCTAGTAAGTGGAAAAATTGGGCATTGAATCAGTGTGTCTGACTCCAGAGTAAGTATACTTAACTGCTGTGCAGGACTAAAGTAAGTGACATGTTTCTTGTCTGGGAAGCAAGAAGGAGACTAGCATATATCGAACACTGGTGTACACCTGACCTTGTGCTGGGCGCTTCGCAGAGATGATTCCCTTGAGTCCTCCCGAAAAGCCTGTCAGGGATTATATTCATTTTACAGATGGAAAAACTGAGACTCAGAGAGGTAAAGCAACTGTGCTGCACATGGATTGGGCCCCGTCTCCTGATGCAAGCCTGCCCAGAAGTGGCCTTGGTCAAGGTGGCACGGCGGGATCCACACTTCTGAATTGAGGGAACAAAACAGGAGCGAGCATGTGATGAATGGGGCAAAATGAAGCAAAAACTCCAAGGGAGGGGGAGCTGCAGGGAGGCCTGAAATTGTCAGGGGCAAGGGAGCTTCCATGGGACCTGGGCTTCACCGACCTTCATTCCTAGGATGGAGCCTTAGAGTGAGCAGCAAAGTCACTTAGGCTCCCTGGGCTGAATGGGAGATGCTGTCTTATGTCCATGATCCCTACCTTACCCCCAGCCTTTCGCTGGCCCGGCGGCCCCACAACTCCCGCCTTCAGCCTTGTTGCTCCTATTTCTGTCTCCTGAGCACATCACGTTCATTCCAGCCTCAGCCTCCAGGCCTTTGCTCTACTGAATGAATCTCCAGCCCTCCCGTCTTTTTCTCCCACCTGGTATCGGCCTTCCTTACAGACCTGTTTCCTCCAAGAAGCCTTCCCTGACTTGCCAACCCCTTGAGTTCCTAAGGCTCCTGATCTCTGACCTGCTCACCTCTGGCACATGACAGTATGGGCTGTGCTGTGCCCATCGCTCTCCCCTCCCCTCCCAGCTGGCCTCCCCTACACCCAAATTGCTTCGCGTTCCCCACCTCCGTCAACCGGGACTGTCGCGTGGCTCCATGCTGTTCCCCTGACATGCTCTTTCTCCTCCACCCCATTCACTGTCCTATTTGCCCTTCGAAGCCCACTCAGACCTTACGTCCCCTCACATTCCTCACGTCTGTAATCACTCCCCCTGCTCCCTTGGAGATAAGTGCTCATCCAAGACCATGCCATCTCTGTTCCTGTGCTGACTTCTGGTTTTGCCTTGAGCACATTGTGTTTTCTCCCCCACTGGACTGTAACTCCATAAAGAACAGACTAGCATATCTACTTTTGTGTCTCAGCCGGAACAAATGGTGATTTAGCCAAAGCGAAATATCGTTGTCCACGTGTGGCTTGGTGGTGAAGGCCCACTTACCCTCTAAACTCTGAGCTCGAGCATCACCTCCATGAAGCCCCCGCCCCACCCCCAGACTTCCCCAGGGCCGGACTAGGAATGCCTCGTAGTCATTAATATGCCTGACTCCAGGAGTCACCCCGCAGGGTCCAGCACAGGGCCCGGCACCTAGGAGTCCTCAGTGAGTGTTTGCTGGTAAAATGACAAGTGCGTGAGTGAGTAAATCTCCAGGACAGGAAGGGTCACGCTTTTGTCTTTGTGCCCTGAATCTCTTTGGTGCCCATCACAGAGCCTTGAAAAATGCCAGGGTCTCTGTGACACATGTTTGAAGAATGGCTGCTGCAGTTCTGTGGGCTCCAAGACATCTGGGACCAGAGAGGACGG